CAAACCTCAATTGAAGAGTCCAATCTTATAAAAACCCACTAAGCCCAATATTGTCCAAGTCCAGTCTCATCAGTTCGGCTACGTTATCAAGAGAGAGAGAGCACGGGAGCCTTACCTGCACCGCCAAGGAAACAGGCCACCCTTACCTATCCTTGACCGCATCTCATGGAGAGCATCTCAACCACCTCACCCGTTGAGAAGAAGTCGTGAGTTCCACCGAAATGGTTGCTTAGTTGCTGTAAAATAGCCTCAACTTGTTAGGGGGCCACTATAAATTGCACGCCCCACCAACACTTGGGGGCATCACACTTTACCTAAGCACGATTCTCTCATCTTCCTTAAAGTTTGTACTCTCTGCTCCCCACACCCTTGAGTTAATAAAATACCTGGCAACCAGAGACATTGAAGAGTGGACGTAGGTCGAACTGATCAAACCACTATAAATTGTCTGTGCCTCTCCATCTCCTGATATTATTTTTCTTGCATTTATTATTCACACTTGACAGGTAGTGTGCAAAATCATTTTGTGCATCATCAATACATATCTCCTAAATGTCCAACTCTAAATTATAATATTGACCTCAAATTTATTCACTTTAGAATATATATCACAAATTTTAAATAAATATTACTATTTATAATTGCAGATAATATGAATTTGAGTACAAACATAAAATAAATAATAATTGGGTATATGTTTATGGATGTATTATTATTTATTAGTTTGTGTAATAGTAAAAACGATGTAAATAAGAATTTTAAAATAAATTATGATCCAAAATATTGTATTAATTAAATTTATCTTCATCGTGTACTACATACAGTAACATGCAACTGATATGACTATGGAATCTACATGCAACTTATATGACTATGGAATCTGAATATGTTGAGAGATTATACAAGATAGTGAGCTTTCCTGTCATACGAGCCCTTTGAATTGATGCTACACCTTGCTGGTGATACCCTGCTTTTCTTCAACCCCATATAAGGAATCCAAATCTAACAGAGCAAGCCAGAAAACCAAAGTAGAATAAAGGAAGTCCAAGGACAAAAGAAGCCTTTCCTCCGTTATCACAGCTAATCTTTCTCATACATATATATATTTTTTATTATAGAGTGTCTAAATTTTTGTCAACTACTCCTTCGAACTCTGAGATCGATCAGTGTAATTCGAACTAGTTTAAAGACATATTCCCTAAAGAATAAGGGTGATTGACCCTTAATAAGTATGAAAAGTATTGAACGTAAGACTTCTTTTTATAAGAGAACAAATTTAACCACCAGACTACCCTGAAAGATTATTTTTCTCGTATACTATACCACTTTATTCATATTCTCATCTTCATGTAGACCCTAATGAGCTCATAAAGGGTGAAATTGTTTATATAAGATGTTCCTGTCCTTTTTACAGCAAGAGAAACAAGGTTTCTCTCTCTCTCTCTCTCTCTCTCTCTCTCTCTCATCCTGTATTCTTCTTTCTCAAACCCATCTCTTTCAGAGCTCTCTGTTCGTAAAAATGGCAAAAAACATAGGCTTCCTTGTTTGTATCTCGATCATGGCTTTGGATTTCACTGCAGGTATACTCGGTATTGAAGCTGAGATTGCTGAGAACAAGGTATTGACTTTTTCCAAAAATACCATCCTTGTTTTTTTTTTTTTTACTTTATTATCTCTTTATAACGGTTTCAAACTTGTTACTCCATGTACTATTGTATGCATGAAGGAGCATACATGAAACTCATGCTTTTCAATTAAAAAGCATATTAGCAATATATATATTTTCAATACAAAACCTTAAAAAGTGTCATTTGCAAAGACATTTTTGTATTGAGAAGCCTGGACAAACCTACGTTTTCATATAAACAACGACAATCAATGAAATAAGTACACCATGATCTAAATCGAATAAAGATGAAAAGTGCAGTAGTTTCGAAATGCTATTTAGTGGGGCATCATTCAAACAAAAAAAAAAGAAAAATTGAAGGCTATGGGTATGATTTAGAACATGATCTTTGCTTGGACAGGTCAAACATTTAAAGCTGTGGATATTTGATTGTAGAGATCCAAGCTACACAGCTTTCAAGTTGAGTTTGGCTGCAGCAGTGCTCTTGGCTTTAGCACATGTGATTGCCAATTTGCTTGGTGGGTGCATTTGCATTTGGTCCAAGGAAGAACTTGACAGGGCCACTGCTAATAAGCAATTAGCAGCTGCTTCCCTCATTTTTTCATGGTAATTGTTTGCATCACCATCCCCATATCAAGGATCAAAAATTTTGTTTTGATTGGTAAGCCAAAAATAGAAACATTTTGAAAAAAAATGGAAAAAGTAAAAAAAAAAAATTGAAAATCATTTATGAAACATTTGACCAAAATCAAATCAAAACACATAATTTCAATATTCAATCACTGATCCAATTTAAATATTCAATCACTGATTCATTTCAATTTCTACGGAAACCAAGACGTTCTGATTGTAAACAAATGAAGTAAAATTTTCTTGTTCATGGATACATCTATCGGGTTATAAGTTGAAATCCTAGACCCATCCCTTCCCTCAAAATGTCATGCCAGTACTTAACCAATGATGCTTTAATCTCGGTGTTGATATGGTGCTAGTGCTTAACCAATTATGCTTTAATCTCGGTGTTGATTCAGGGTTATATTGGCTGTGGCGTTCTCGATGCTAATACTGGGAACACTATCAAACTCGACGTCCAGAAAAGATTGTGGAATATCACACCATCGTCTTATGTCTATAGGAGGGGTTTTATGTTTCATACATGGACTTTTTGCAGTTGCATATTATGTTTCTGCAGTTGCAGCCATTGCAGAAGAAAAGAAGTTGAATCAACACCACCACCAACAAGGCCAAGCTTGATCTTTCCTTCTTCATTATGTACTAACCTGTTATGTTTCCCTCTTGTTATTTCTTTCATCTATCAATGGAAAAAAAAACATGCTCCCATATTTTCATAGTAACTATGATCGAATACCATGTTTCTGGATTCCTTAAAAACTGGATTCATTAACCCGTTAGGATAATTTGGATGTTAATACTTTGGAGGACTGCTTATTTTGGGTAAGAGCAATCTTAACAAAATAGGTGAAGCAGATAACAGCCATATGCAGAAGCCAGACCAATCTAGTATGGTGTTTAACTGCAAATGGAATCAGATAGGGGAAACGGGCGTACAAAAAATGAAGGAAAAAATAACGGCCAAGAACAGCACATAATCAAACAAATTATTCCTACCTCCTCTAATCAGATCACCTCTCTTTGGCTGTGCAGTTTATATCTTCCTAGCTCAAATGCACAACCATAGAATACAACTTTCTTAGATAGTTAGATGTCGACCTTAATCAATGCTTCTAAAGAGCTACTAAAACCGATTTCATCGCTTATTCTTATCGTTTCTTTGCATTACTGCTCATCTCCACCAAACATTTTAGCTACTTTCATCTCAAAGAAACAAATATTACAAAACATTTCATACATACAGTAGGGTGCCACACACTATCTAACAAGTTTCCAACCTTTACCACTTCAGGGTACTCCATTTCATCTAATCCTGGTGGAAGCCCATGGATAACAGTCCTCCATCGTATTCCTTCCTTATTGAAGGGTCAATAATCTACCATTCGTTGCTCTCTTCCATGTGATAATTTCTCTTCCCAACACTATATGAAATAAAATTCAGATGTACCTATGATTAACATATAAATCATAATTCTGAAAAAAAACTCCATAAATCCTTTCTATTGGGTCGTGCGTGGCAGCTGGTTTCAAAATCATACCATCAAGCCGACAATGAAGACAATGAGACAATGACACCACTCTCTAAACATTCCAAATCAGCTCATTCATAACCACGGCAAATGACTAGGCGTTCATGCCAACATCTAAGGAAAGCATTTTCAAATGGAAATTCACTTTTCATCCTACCACCTACTCTAATGCTTATCGCTATTTCCTCATGCAAGTATTTCATCACCTTAATTCCATCACTGTCTCCAAGAGTTCCATATCTCAAGCATACATGCTTCTGGGCAAAAAACTATATATTCAACTTACAAAGATAAATAATCAGTTGAAGGAAAAAATACTCCAACATCCAAAACTGTTATTGTTATTGAGAACACAGACATAGTCCAGCATCAATTATGCAAATAAAAGTAAAAATATCTCTAGATTTGATCTAATAACCGATATCTATGATGCCCACTTCATCTCCAACTCTTCAACTTCCCTTGGGCCACCTTGAATCATTTTTTTCAGTTATAGTTTATCATCAATTCAGCACAAATACAGAAACAGAAGCAAGGTTCCAATAGTTGGGACAAACAGGAGTTCTTATACTTCAGAAGAGAGTTTGAAAATTGGAGTTAGTACTTTTCACTTCAAGTGCCTAACCTTTTTGAGGTGTCCCACCCCCCCCCCCAAAAAAAAAAACCCAAACCCACATCCATACCCAACCACTCTCTGTAGCGATTTTTTGCAGGCATGTTGGAAGCTTTTGTGCATTCAAAGGATCTCTGCTATTATCAAATATGTGCTACATGCCACAATCTGTCTGCCTCCCTCTCTCTCTCTCTCTCTCTCTCTCTCCCCCCCCCAAAAAAAAAAAAAAAGAATTACGGCTCGTCTGTTTAACCAATATTTCAAAGTGAGTGATGATGTTTGAACTAAAGTGGCTGGTTTTCATGAAACATTCTATGTTTTGGCTATTGCAAATATTAGTAGCTTAGTTATGCAGGTGGAATCTAAATGGGTTGTATAATCCTCTCAATACTTAATTTGCTAACTACCATAATCTTGAGATTTTTCAGACAATCGATTAAGCACTCCTACATTTTAGCTTAACTTCTCAAATTTACATTTCTAAAAAACCAGTAAGGCATGCTGCATAGATACTAATGGATAATTTTTGAATACTACTAGGTGTGAGTGGGGATAAGGTGAATATAAGTTACAAATTTCATGCATTGCACGGGACCACCGCTAGTACAAATGATATACCGAAGAAAAAATTCCCACAAAACAAAGCAAACGGCAGTGCCAAGTCATTACCGAAAATTTGGAAAGCTATCATTCCGATTCTTGATGTCAAGGTCAAATATCAGACAAGATGAACATAAGTAATCAGAGAAAGGTAATCTATGCAATGGAATGAAAAAATACTCCCCAAATAGCATACGCATAATTTTGGCTAAAATAAGACTCATGCATTTGCTGGTTTCTCCCTCCAGTAGAGCTCCTTGTACCTGGAGTTGGCTCCAGTTCTCCTCTTACTCTAATTTCTTATCCCTCCAATTAACCCTGATTCATCTCATAGGCTATTCCAATGCCAACAAAGACAGAAAAGAGGAAACAACACATCCAGATTTAACCAGCCCGTTTATACTAACATTTCAAACCAGTGAGAAAAAAATATAATTCATCATACTGTGTAAGCAGAGGAGCATGGATGTACAAAGATATTTAGAATCCTCAAATTATGGAAACCAAGATTAGAATATCAAACCTTACAAGTTTCAAAGACATTAACAAAAAAGGGGTCCATAGAAATTAACCGTGCGCATATCCCCTTTCCAAAAGATAAATACTAGGCATTCATACTTAGTTAACAGACTAAGTTAATTAATGGGCTCCTATAAACAAAAACAAAAGTTACTCTACCATTCTTGTCCTCAATATTATCCATCACCAACTTAATAACCAGAAATTACCTAATGCCCTGACTTCAGTGCTTCCAATACCATCTTTGTCTGCTCGCAAATCAACTCTGCACGCTTCAAGTAAAGCTCAACACTCTCAACATGAAGCTTCTTCCACCTCTCCTCCAACTCAACCTTCTTCGGCCCCTTAATCAACTCCAATCCACTATTTACGATCTCCTCTTCCAGAGCCCTATCCCCAATCCCTCTGCAACTCAAAAGCGACCACAAAGGCGCCTCATTGTGCTCAACCTCCATCTTTTCCACATTTTTCTGCCCATCAGACAACAGAGTGTCATTCACTTTTTTCTCCTCCACTTTAGGAGTAGCCATCGAGGCCTTACCTCTTTGGCTCTGATTCCTTCTTGCAGTCCCATTAATTTTGGAAGAATTCTCGATTGCTACACTATTACCCTCACCACCCCAAATTTTTTTCGACAATTCATACAATTTCTGCTCGTGGGGTTTCGCAAAATTCCGCTCTTTTCCCTCCTCCTCTTTGCTAGCATTGTTCTCGTACTTCTTCCTCAACCTCCTAACCTTATCAGACAACTGGGTCTTGGTCACATCGACATGTAAAGATTTTCTAATAAACTCATGGAATGCAATCATATCCGCAACTGGGTCAGCCCCTTTCTTCGCCATGTACTCGATCACACCCTTCACAATCACAATCTCATCGTCTTCACTCCACAGTCTCTGAAACAACTGCTTCTTCGAATCATCCTGAGTCACACTGGAAATCTTCTTCTCCGAATCACCATTATTGGAATCCACTTTTTGTTTCGCTCTTTTCGACTCCTTGACTACACTCCCCGCCGGCCTTTTGGCGGGTTTCGCCGAAGTTGGGGAACTGGGTGGCAAACTAGGTTTGGATCTCGGCTTTTTAGTGGGTTTGCTTGACTCATCCATGGGCTTTGAAGCAATGGGTTTGATATTTGGGTCAGCTTTTCTAGACTTCTCCGGCGGAATGTCCGATTCCGATTCCGATTCCGATTCAGATTCGGAAGAGGAGGAAGAAGAAGAAGACTGGAGTTTTGAAGGGGTTTGAGAAGGTTGTTCTGGTTTTTTCGGAGCTGATGGCTTTTTGGTAACTAGAGGCGTGGGTGCCGAAGGTTTGGGTTGTTGTTGCTCTTCTGATTCAGACTCCTCTTGTTCTTCGGATGACCCTTCTCCTTCGTTCTCTTCTTCTTCTTCAGAGTCTGAGTTATGAGGTGGGTCATGGTCAGACTTACGGTTTTGGGCCATTTTGAGAGAGAGATAGAGTGGAAGATGGATTTACGAGCTAGGGATTCTTTTACAGAGACGAGAGAGAGTATTGTACCGATTGGGTCGCCTCGTTGACTTTTCACCTTCTCATTAACGGGAGTAACGAGGGGTCGGCATTGGGTCGGTTTGGTCCGATTAGATGGGTAGCTATCCAATGGACTGGCCTTATAGGTGTTAAATGGCCTATAAATCGAGTTTTAAAAATTTTATTTTGATGCATTGTTTTGGTTATCTATAAATTTTAATGTATTTCAAAAATATTTTGATTCGTTTTGAAAATATAATAAAAAAAATAAAAAATTTAAAAATTATTTTTCTAAAATATTGATTGAACAACTCAAAATATTGTGAAACACCTCAAATTATTAAAATTATGATTACTAGCGGAAGTAGACAAAAATTAAATGTAAAAGCTTACCAAATTATTCTATTAACTAAACAGGAAATTTTATTATGATATTAATTACAATTTTTATCATATTAAAATCGTATATTTAACTTTTTAAAATCAAATCTTTTCAAACGGGTTAACCAATCTAATAAATCATCTATTTTTTTATATTGTCTTTTCACCAAGTTTATATTGATTAGTGTAATATTTTTAATTTTCACCAAATATTTCATTTTTTTTAGATTTATTTAAATTGAATTACAGATTACCCGTCAAAAGTTGATATTATTTTTTTGTTTTTCACTAATTTGGTTGAAAAAATTTGATTTAAAAAGGTGAATAACCTAAACGAACTATTTTATTTTTTTTAATTTTTTTATCTACACATATGATACTACTCTGTGTGCACAACTCTTAGTTAATTTATATAATAAAGTATTTTATAATTCAAATTTTAAAAAATAAATAAAATAATTTTTTTTCGTGGTTGAGATCGCTTTAAATTTTACTTTAAAGTTAATCTAACGACTAAAATTAACAATCTAAATTTAATAGGAAAAATAAAGTCCTAAGGGTGTGTTTGAATTGACTTATTAAAAGTACTTCTACGAATTATTTATTATTAGTACTTTAAATAAAAAATAATGTTTTAAACCGCATCACCACTACACTCTATCACCACCGTCGCCACCGCTACCACCATCGTCGTCGCCATTGTCGTTGTCGCCACTACTACCACTGTTATTGTCGTTGTCACCATCACCGCTACCACCCATCGTCGCCGCCGCCACCACCACCACTGCCACCCCCCCTCCCCCATCACTATCGCCACCGTCATCGTTGTTGTCACCACCATCACCACCGTTGTCGCTGTCGTCGTCGCCACAACTGTCACCGTCGCTGCCACAGTCACCATAATCATTGTCATTCACCACAACCATTTCGTCGTCTCATACCATCACCCCTGTCGCCACCACCTCTAACTCCAACTATAATCGATACTTAAATTTATTTATTTCTCCTCTATGTTTATGATTTGATTTTGGATATAAATACAAATATATTTATTGTTTATTATTTTTTATTATTCTGTGCTTTCAGACGCTGACAATAACTAGTAATTTTCTATAATATAAAATAATACAGATTTTAATAAGTCTATTTGACAATTTCAAATAGATTCATTCAACGGGTATTAACATCTCTCAAAATTATTTATATTACACCGTGTCTTCAAGTACGAAATATACTAATAACTAATAGGAGAGAGAATAAAATAGAATTGTTGTGCAATTGGGGTACTCAAAGCTTTTTGACCAACCCAAGAATTCCAATTTCTTACCATTACTTCTTATCTTCTAAGTAATAATAAAGGAATGGCTGATATTCATGATTCACTGGTCAAACTTTACTTGAATTCGGTATGTATAAAATTTGACTTCAACCTAACTCGTTATTTTAAATAATATTTTAAGTTTGACTTATTTATATATAAAAAAGTTAAATTATTCCAAATTTAACTTATTTTTTAAATAAATAAAATTTGAGTATTTTTTTAAACTCAGTACAAAAAATAAATCAATTCAATTTCGCAAAATTGTGTTGAATATCAACTCTAACAATAACTCAAATCAAAACGGAGACGATATGCACAACAGTGATACAATCACGCTCAAATACGTTCTCTTAAATGAAAAAAGATTTAAGGGAAGGTAATGTGGAAATATATAGTGTGAAGAAAACCTCTCTCCCTCTCACTCTCTGGATGGGTCTTTGGGTCGTCTCCTGAATCTGGTGGCTTCTTCAGCTGTCTACCAATTTGGGTATTGAAATTTTTCCAATCTTTTGTTGTTGTTGTTGTTAATTATCAGGTTATACTGTAAAAGTAGTGTTCGACTCCCCCATCATTACGGGATCTTGGCAAGTTATACAGTATAATAATTGTTCATACATCACATAAACATAATATCACTGGCATTTTTCTTAGGTCTGAAGTATTATAGGGCCAGCATTGGTAAACATGCTTGTATGTCTGACTTTGGTGTGGGTGATTTTTTTTTTTTGGTGGGGTGGGGGGGGGGGGATTGTGAAAGAAAGTTGAAACATTGTTTTAGTAGTTTCCTCCATATATTATAATTATAAGCATCCTCTGGCTTTGTTGTGTGTAGATTTATCTACAACTCATCAAATTGGGGACTCAACCCACACACACCCATGTCATTCCTAGTTTTAAGTCCAAATGTTTGTTTGTTTTGATATGTTTCTCAAGGTGCAACTCTTATTATTTTCGTTTATATATACATCAATGAGTCGAACTTACTCTTAAGGGAAACTAAATGGGAGTTTGCATAATAAGGACTAGAGTTTTTCGTGTTTATTTGTTTTGATGGTTACTTTTTTGTTTTTTTCTCATGACAGTTAAATGGGATGAAAGTTATCATTGAATTGATAACTAGATGTAAACCAATGATTCTTTAGGACTCTTAATTATTGTTCACCCAGTTAATTATTGGTTTGGTCATTTGAAGTTATGGATGAACACTGCACATTGTTCACCCATTCCTATTTTATGATCTGAAGTTGTATGTTACCTGCATGTTAGGAATTTAATTCCACATATATTATTCTACATGTTTTATGTGCAGATTTTAGAAAGTAATCCTTGTTTACAGTTATGGGAAATGCAGTTTTTTCAGCAGGTCAGAAGTGATATCACTGCAAAGCCTCAAAACATCAACGTTACGGTCTGCAACAATTCCAGACAAAGAAAAGACATTGTTGGACTTTGAGAAGCAAGAGACTGCTAGAAACAGGAAGAAACGAAAGAACGCCTCTGCTCCTAGTACTGAACCAATGTTAGCCCTTGAGGGCTTAGAGACGCAAGAAATTGCTACAAATGAGAAAATTGAAGAGAAGACTTCAATTCCTGTCACTCAACCGATATTCCTCCCTGAAATCGTTATGGAGATTCTGAGCTGGTTGCCTGTACGGTCGTTATTGAGGTTGCAGTTGGTGTGCAAGCAATGGTATGCTCTAATGCAAGATCGCCACTTTGTTGAAAAGCATATGAGCCAGGCCACCGTTTTAATTTGTTGGTATAATGTAAATCAGCTTCCTCCTGCAGCAGATGAAACTTTTGAATTGATCTGTGGTTGTGATGGATTGTTACTCAAGAGAAGCCATTCTTCTTATAAATACCACATTCACAATCCAACAACACGCCAAATCCTTGAACTGCCTGATCCACATGAAATCATATATTTCATCACCTTATTTTTTGTCCCGGCTACTGGTAACTATAAACTGGTCTCTATATATAATGAGAAAGAAGAATCTGGCAGCAAACGTTGCGAAGTTCTTACAATTGGAAAGGATGATTCATGGAGATCCCTTCAAATCCCAAAATTGGAGGATCATCACAAGAGGGAGAGAGTTGCAATTTTGTCAGCAGGTGCAACTGTTCATTGCATTTGGGAATCTCAAATCAGATCAGACATAGAAGTACTGTCCATAGATTTGGGAACCGAGTGCTCCACAATCACACCTTCGCCAGAGGTTTTGTTTCCAGATGGGAATGCATATTGGGCTTTGGATTGGAATGGGAAATTAGCATTTGCTGATAGAGTGAAACAAAATCTCCGGGTTTGGGTATTAGAAGATTACATCAAGCACAAATGGGGTGAAATGGTGGTTGTTCCCTTGAAATTAAACAAAGATATGGAGGGGGATCTTCTTCCCCTCTTTGCTCAGTACGACAATCTGTGGTTCCGGTTGAAAGGTAAGCAAATATTTTCTTATAATATCGTTCATAGACGTATTGGGCACAAACTATCCGCGCCTGGAGGGTATAAAATATCGAGAAAAGTCTATCAATGCCCTCCTAGCCTGGTTACTTTTGAAGGAATGAAAGGAGAAGATGCCAGCTAATTAGCAAATCTGAACTTGGTTTGCTTAATGTTTTCTTTCTTAAACATTTTCCATAATGGTGTGTTGCATATAATAAGTGTTAATCCCCTTAGCCAGCAAGTATTCAAACCTTTCTATCCTGGATTTTTAGTGTTAGATTTTATTCAATGACTTGGTATAAATAAGTCCTTCTGAGGAAATGAATTTTAAACTAAATTATCTTTTGTGTTAGCAATTTGCTGTGTTACCATTGTGTGCTTGTTCAATTGGATGGTCTGCAAATGTTTTAGATCACGTCACAGCAGCAGATCCTGTCTGATCGGGTGAATATCCTATGCTGCTTCTATAGTTTTGTATACTACACATGCACTACTGTTGTGGAAGTTCTGTATCGCAAAACTCCATTGATTTCATTTGAAAACGTTTGAAACTGAAAGCATTGAGCTGTAGCGCTGCTAGATGAGGTGAGTTTTTGAGGGGTCTTCTTCTATCAAATTCCAGATGGAGGTTAAAGAGGCTTCCCTTAAACAAGATTTTCTGGCCCCTTTGAGCTAAACAACAATCCTTGTAATTGCATCTGGAAACCGTTGGTGAGTCATTGACAGTAACAATCAAACTGTTTCTCAGTTTTTATGTGAAACACCATAGCTTTTGTGTAAACTGTCTAATTTGTAGCGTAAAAAGGCAGCTTAGTGCATGAGTCTCCACTACCACTATTTTTTAATGTCTAGTACTTAAATGGTCGAACGCAATACGCTATTCTTAATATCCAGTACACGAGACCCCTCATCATATATGCACTTGGGCCTAAAAGAAACTTCATTGTAACTTCAAAATTTCATGGGACAAATTGAAGTGTCTTGTTATAAGAAGGGCAAAGCATACACCAAGATACATGATTCGTTCTAACCGAGCTGGGCTAGAACGTCCTTCAGTGATGATACAGTTGCTGCATAGTACTTCTCTGCTTCAGGGGTGCTCTTAATCTTTGCAGCATGGTCCAGCTGATTAAAAACAGAGGAGAACAAGAAGAATGATTAGAAGAGCTGCCACACAAATTCCATCTTTCAAGCACACAATATATTAAGGATGTCAATCGAGTCGTATTGTATCATTTTCGTGTCACGTAGAGTTGTCATATTCATGTTGTGTTATTTAAGTTTGTGTGGTGTTCATGTCAATATACATGTTATAAAAAACTATTTGGTTCTAAAATAGTTCTTAACTTAGATATTTTCTTTTTCACACAACAGCGGCTTAACGGCTTACTCGTGTCAATCGATCGCGTCATTTTGGGTTTATGGCGCATTACATACATGCTGTGTTCGTGTTAATGTGTAAAGTTAACATCCCTACAATATACACATGGCTCAACCAAATTTTTGGACCATTCATCTGATGTAATCTGTGCAAGGAAATGAGTTTGAACTCACATTGCTGATGTCCTGGAAGAGCTTTCCGGTGAGTTCTTTCAGAGGTTGCTTTTGCTCTTTCGGCTTGGCGGCGATGACGGTGTTGAGGTCATACCGGAGGTACTCTGCCCTCAGCCTGAGGTCATTCTGGACGTATGGCCAAGCTTTCTTGTCTATGAACGTCTTCACACCAAAAATTTCCTTGGCAGACTCCTTTGCCCTCGCTGCTGCCTCGGCCGGTGACAGTGGTTGAATGAAGAAACGATTTTTCAGTGCTAGATCAAGGTCTCTTGGCTCATCTGAGTTTAAAGTTCCAGCTGCCCAGACACAAATTTTTCCGGCGCAATTGCCGGAAAAATGTCAAATGCTTGTCACCAAAACATTCCAATGAATCTAAAAGTTGTTCACTTCTCCGGTAAAAGATCCTTGAAAGCCATTGATTAAATTGCTGTTAAATGGAAGTTGAGTGAATCCGACACAAAATTAATTAATACGGAATTAACTTGTATGAGTGGTAAATGGATGGACTCATTAGATTCATAAAATGAATGAATCAACATGAATTCTTCAAACCCGACTTATACTGAACCCAAATTTGACATGTTGAGAACACAATTATAAATTAATCTCACATGAGTTGAATAATTTTGATACTGACATGAAATCAACATGAAACTACGGATTGTTAATCCTAATTTAGGAGAGGGACGGGGAGATTCTCACCTCGCTCCTCCGTACTAGAAACTTGATTGAAAAAAGAAAGAGGACACTTACGCAGTCCACCAGAGGGTGGAGGGGGCGGTCCAATCTTGATGGGCTTGGCTTCAGCAGCCAGTACGGCCTGGACAAAAGACCCGGAGGCCAGGCCAGCAGCAACAAGGCCCAATACAGCTCGGCGGCTGGTTTCAATCTCAGATGAACCTTGCTGGGCTCTAACAGTGAACCCCGGTCGGGAGGTGGCAATTCTGCCGCTGCTGGCGGTGGTCAGGCGGGTTGTCGAGCCACTGAGTTGGAGGCTGCCTTCCAAGACAGCCTGAGAGGAGCCAAGTAAGCCTGCCATTGAAGCCATAGCATGGGCCATTTCTAAAACAGTTTTCTATGTGATGTTGAAAAGCTTTTGAGGAAAGTTGGGAGGAGAGAGAGAGGTGGGATAGTGTAATTTATGTTGGGGACGTGTAATGGTGGATGATATTTGTGGTTTTTTGTGATGTAGATTGAAGAGAGTGAATCACCTTATCTGGCTTTTGGATATGGCTTTGGCCAATGGTTGTTTGAGTTATTCACAAGTTGGATTAGGTTCTATTGGAGCAATAGCATCTTGACATGTGGACCATAGGGATTGAGCTTCTTTTATTTATTTATTTATTTTTTTAATTTCCTTAAGGTTGAGTAAGGTTCGAGGGTAGCTCTTCCAAGATGAGATCTTTAGACAATGGTTGAAGGGAGATATTTGTGTGATTGCTTCGGATTAAGATCATTTCCTTAATATCTACAACACAAATCTTCGACGCACATCATCACCTAAATTTCATTTGCATCAATTCAACCCGAATTGAATGAATGGTTAATGGAGAGAATTTGGATTGATTTTTGGCTGAATTATAGAATTTTATTATTGATTCAAGTTGATGATAAGTATTATGATCACGCATTAGTTAAAAATAAAATTAAATATGTGTATATGAACTCTTGAATATTCTTCCCTTGTAAGTCAATTTTTCAAAGCAAGTTTTATACCTATATATTCATAACAATTAGTATCAGAACTAATCATTACATCAAGTATGAGAGGGTGACCTATAGGTTAGATTAAATGACTTGGTATGATGTATAATTTTAATGCTATCTCATTTAATACAAAAATAGTTACCATTAAGTCAATGTGAACAGATGGACAAATTTTAAATCTAGACGTCCTGAATTTGAATATTAGTAATTATTTGAAATTAAATCATGAAAAAATTTACCTTAATTTCAGCGTAACTAACGTTTCTTTAACGGAACTCCTAACCGTTAAAAAAATAGAGAGGACCGCCGTGGGGTCATAACACAATATGGATCGGTATACTGCCGAAAATTAGAACAAAACAAATTGTCACTAATGTTATCACATTTTCTGGTAGAATTGTAAATAGATTGAATGAGATTATTTTCACCTCACAAATCTCTATTCTCACTTTATTTAATTTTTTATTATCAAACTACTAAGTCCACTTTTTTTATATTCACTTCATTAGTAACTAAATCCACCTCGTACTGTATACACTCCATTAATAGTTAAATTCACTCATTTTATATACATTCTTTTAATGAAATAAAGCATCATAAGAAAAAAAATAATGAAAGAAGACAATTATTTACTAAATAAGAAAAAAAGAATGCATAAATATATTTACGAAATAAGAAAAAAAAAAGAATCAAACAAAATTGAAACAAGAAAAAAATACAACAAAAAATGAAACAAGTAAAAAAAATCAAGCATGTTAAAAAAAAAAACCAAGCATGTTAAAAAAAGAAAAAAGAGAAAAAAACGAAAAAAGAAAAAAAGAAAGAAGTAGATCGAAAAAAGAAAAAAGAATGAAACAAGAAAAAAAACATAAAGAAAAAACAAATCGAAATACGAAGGAAAAAAATTAAGCAAAGATTTAAGGAATAAGCAAAACTACAAGACGCAAAATTGAATATGAAAAAAAATAAGCATCAAGCACAAATACAAAATCAAACAAGACAAAAAAAAAAAAAGCATAAATGTAAAGTCTTACCAAGATAAAAAGAATAAATAACATACATATATATACACACACATATAAATTTTAAATAAAAAATTATTAAACTTGATAAAAATATCAAAATATACCGAAAATAATAAAAATTTATATAATAAACATGAAATCAAATATAAAATTAAATTGAGAAGTAATACTAACTTGTATTTGAGTGAAAAAATTCATATTGAAAAAGTGTTTTGTGAGTGCATGAGATGAGATGAGATAAAAAATAAAATTCTAATTATGATGAAATATAAAGTGCATTTAGTTAATGGAATAGGTATAGAAAGAATGAGTTTAGTAATTTGATAATAAAAATTAGATGGAGTAAAAATAAAAATTTATGGGGTGGAAATAGAATCGTTTGTTTCTTAGCCTATGCTGTTCTAGTGTGATCTCGATTTTTGATTATTCTCCGCAATCCTATCGATTTACTGTAGAGACCCTGTTAATCTTTAATTTTGCCATTAAACACCAGCTAACCCAGCACCAGAGTGAGAGAGAAAGAGAGAGAGGGAGAGAGAAACCCACTGCAATCTAATCCCAGAGAAGAACAAGAAGAGATATGGAAAGCCAAGAGCAGCAAAAGACATCAAGGGTTGTTGAGGTGGACTCAAAGCAGTCATGGGATTCCTATGTAACTAAAGCCACCGATCAAGGCTGCCCTGTAAGTATATTTCATCTTACTCACACACAAAGTATTCACACCCTCTGTGTTTCTTTTTTTCTTCTGCTTCTGCTATTTTTGCAAGCCAATAGAATCCTGATTTCAGGGTTTTTTATTTTATTTTAATCTTGTACTTCCACAGATAACTCAAAAGACTCCTCAATTGATTATTGAATAGCATCCCTTGCTTCAGTGTCTTGTTACTCTCTCTCTCTCTCTCTCTATTGCATTTTGTGATGTACCCATCTCAGTGATCTCACCCCCTTGACGTCTTCTTTTTCATTTATTAATTATTTTGGGGTAACTGTTATATATGTACAGATATTAATCTAATAGCCAATCTCAGGGAATTTTTCTTTTCATTAATAAATTAATTTAAACACCTAGAGATGTTAATCTATCAGCCGGGATCAGCTAATTAGACAAAGATGACATATCTGGTGATAATTAATGAGGTTTTAATACTACTCTTTATGATTATTATGATTTTTTTATGAATTGATGGAGGGGTTGGGGGATTTGTAGATTGTGGTACACTTTACTGCTGCATGGTGCATGCCATCGGTTGCGATGAACCCTTTGGTTGAGGAATTGGCATCAACTTACCAAGATATGTTGTTCCTCACTGTTGATGTGGATGATGTCAAGGTAATTCATCTCACTTCCTGAAATTAAAATGATTTTATCTTTTATTTTCAGCTATAATCTGTTCTGCATTGGGGCATGAATATTCATAGCATCTTTTCACCGTTTGGAAATTTGAGAGATGATATAGATGTTCAATATTCTTCAGTTTGATATTTAATTGGTGGTGATTAAACGTTATTAGATGTTTATTGTTGTTTCGGGAATTAATCTCTCCAAAATGGAGTAAGATTACTTACTAGTTACTTATTTCAGACTTGTCATAGGCGTAAGCCTTGTACTCTGAGTACGACCCTTTTTTAGATATTTATTGTTGATCTGTTTTGGTAGGAGGTAGCAACCAAATTTGAGATTAAGGCTATGCCAACATTTTTGCTGATGAAGGAAGGTGCTCAAGTGGACAAGATTGTGGGTGCCAATCCAGATGAGATAAGGAGAATGATTGAGGGTTTTGCTCAGCCCAGTCGTGTGTATGTGGCCTAGTCACCATATGTTGGTTTTGTACATTCATGTGGTTTGTGATATTCCAGCTTTGTATTGAAAAATGACATGGACATGGATAATAAGTTCGGTAAGTTTTTTTTTTTTTTGGGAGGTGGCGGAGAGGGAGATTGTCTCCCTCAAGTTATGAAAATCTTCTGTATTATACTACTGTTAGCTATGAATACCCTCAACCTATACGGGCTCTTGGATCCATTCCTATGTGTTAGTGTGTATATCCTGTCCTAGATCATGTAATTTGTTATGGAAGTTCTTGTATGATTACTTTCTGAGAAAAATGTATTCAGAATTCTGCCAATAAGCAATATTAAAGTTTGTAAAAGGCATTCTTAATTTGTCCTAGTTTCTCAGATTATTCAATTTTTGTCCTAGTTAATCTTTTGAATCTTGGATGAAGGTATGATGGATTCTGGATTTAGGTTCACTCTTTCGATCTACAACTCAAAATCTGTTCAGCAAGCTATCCTAACTCAGGGGTATGCCGCATGCCATTTGGTCTTCACAAGATGGATTGGGTAAGAAGGGGAAAGCAATCAAAATTGAATATTACGTCTAAATGCAGTTAAAATTGATAGCCATGTAGACTTGGTTTGTGCGGGCAACATGATCAACTTTCTAATCTCTAACCTTTACTAAACTTTGACTATATGTTTATTTTCTTTAAAATACATTCAGTATTCAGACATAAAACACTAGGTATTAGGGCTAAGTTTCAGAATATAAATGCTCTCTCAACTAGCTTGAAGCACTTGTTGAACATTGATCTGATGTAAGAGTTCCTGTATCTACCAAACTCATAGTAGACTGATCAGACATGAACAATCTACCAACAGAGAATGGAGGTTCTGATGGTCGGGGAAAGTTTGTCAACTGGCCTCCAAGCATGAGAAGAACCGATGACATGGTGGGGCGATGAGTAGGGTCTTCCTGAACGCACAACAACGCGATATGAATCCATCCCACAGCTTTGCTTACTGGACAAGTGTCGATTATATTTTGATCTAGCAACTCCTGCATTCTGCCTTCTTTCCATAACAGCCATGCCTGTGAAGTGTCATGTGTGATTTAGTTCATCATTATATGAGACATACTTATTAACTTCAGTAGGTTCATGTTGATCAATAAGTTAACCTACGTATGATAGAAGGCTTTGGGCATGGTCTGAGTGATAGAAGCCACTGCTCTTCGTTCCACTTATAACTTCAAGCATCAAGACACCAAAGCTGTAAACATCAGACTTTGTCGAAAACAATCCCTCCATTGCATACTCGGGTGCCATATCACCACTACCAAAGATGACAACAACAAAAAATTCCGATTTATGGTTCAAGAAAAACTAGAGAGAAAAATTATTGCAGGGTGAAAAAAAATCCTGGTTTATATGGCATGCAATGTTTATATGCTTAATATTGACATTAACAATATCAGAAAACACTTTGGAAGTACTTTAGTTAATTATTCTATGAAATCACTACAACTATTGCCAACAAGTGTTCAACCTTAACAATAACTGAGAAAAAAACATGGTTGTAAAGGTCTAGATTGTAGATCTTTGATGTACACGACAGAAAACATTGTTGTACTTCAAATGGTCCCTAGTCAGAGCAGGTGCAGCCCAAAAAAACAAGCACCTTGATAGTGTCATGACTAGAGAATTACTTCACTTTGGCAGGAGAGATCAAGTTGATTTGTCCCACAGTAGATAGCAACAAGTAAGCTATTTGAGAATTGCGAAAGTGGAAATGCACTTACTATGTTCCAACAACTCTGTTGGTACTGGCTTCAATTTGATTGCCTCCAAAAATCCTAGCGGTGCCAAAATCTGATATCTTTGGGTTCATATCATCGTCCAACAGAACGTTGCTGGCTTTCATATCCCTATGTATAATTTTGAGGCGGGAGTCCTCATGTAGATAAAGTAGTCCCTTTGCTGTTCCACTTATTATATTAGCACGCTTTGGCCAGTCCAGTTCCTTGCATTTTGTTGGATCTGCCCTTTCAAAAATGAATTTTAGCAGAAATAAAGTCTGTTAGAATTATTGCCACTGTATAACTAAACTATATCAGAGAGAGAGAGAGAATACAAACCAAAAAGAAAGGCATCAAGACTAGTGTTGGCCATGTACTCGTAGACAAGGAGCTTTTCATTCTTGTCGATGCAGCAACCCAAAAGCCTGACCAGATTCTTATGTTGAAGTTTTATGATTAACTTCACTTCGTTCTTGAACTCTTCAAGCCCTTGCCCTGAGTTTTTAGAAAGCCTTTTAACTGCTACTTCCTTTCCATCATGCAGCTTGCCCTGAATGCATTTCATTAATCTGCTTAAGCAAAACTACAATTTACTATTGTTTGAATATGTTGAGATTATGTTCTTTACCTTGTAGACCGGTCCAAATCCACCTTCTCCCAGTTTATTTGCTGCCGAGAAATCATCTGTAGCAGCCTGTATGGTAGCTAGGTTGAAGTACTGCATCTCTTCGTTTTTGTCCTGGTCTCTCCCATGCACACTTCCTAATAAAATTTCTTCCCCTGTTTCAGGATCTGCTGACAAATGAGAATTGGATAAAATGACAACTTCACCATTCTACATGATTAAATTCTAACCTTTCTGTCCTCTTTTTCGGCGAAGAGACAGGTAAACACAGAAACCCAAGATGGCTACACCTGCTGTCGTTGATACAGTGATGACTGATATTTTTGTTGTGTTTTTCAATCCTCCGTTTCCTGTCATACACTGCATAAGGTTATCATACTATCGAAACTGAATATTAGAGAAGTTTTATCTTTGATGATTTAAGTGACTCTGCTTAATTAGCTAGGAAAAAAATTGAAATACATGTTGAAACATGGTCTAACCATGTTTTGAATTACATTTCCGTATGTACATTAGTCCTCTAATGTAGAGGGATCTTGCCATCTTGGTCATCATACGACAAAGAAGAGGCATAGAAAGATAGAACTTTAACCCTCCCCGATCCTACACACACAAACGCCATGAAGAATAAAAGAAGGCAAGGCACATCTATAATATTGTCAAAAACATATAAAGAAGAAGAGATGGACAGATTAACACTTTTCTCAAAAATTCAATTTGTCATGGAACAAACCTATTTATGAGAGCAATGTTTCATACGCCTCTCTAGTAGCAGAAGTTGGTATAGTTGTAAATTAAGTACTTGTAGAGGGCTTATACTTTTTCAATCCCACCATTGATTACTTGAGCTTCCATGGTTAGATTACACTTGTTTGTTTGAGGCTCTAAAAGGCTTCCATGGTTAGAGTTCACTTTTGTATTTGAAGCTTTAAAAAGTATAGCTAAAGGTGTTAGATCCATGATATGTATGAAACATGTTTTAATCTAATTGTGAGCTTGAAGAAATACAAATCCCATATAAAAGTAATAGGAGCCAATGTAACACTTTTTTACCCTCCCCTAAGTTTACCACTTTACATTCCCATTTTGCCTGGTTTTTCATGTGTATTGTAAGGAAGATTTTGTCATATAAATCATGTCATGTGTGTCAATTTTTTTTTTCATGATGAAGTATGAAAAGCTAAATCAAAAGTTTTGACTCACCTTGATCATTTGGAGGCGCGGGGAGAATTGGTGGTGGTGCTGGTGGAGCTGCCGCTGGTTGCGAAAAGTTGTACTGTTCATACCTGATATAGCAACTGGCTCCCAAAATACGCCACCCTACGCTCCCTTGTGGTATAGTCAGGACAAGCTGTTTCAAACAATCTCCACAAGCGGTTTTATTTATGTCTCTCGTACACTGCACCATCCCATACCGATCCTGATTGCCATTAGGCAAACTATTTGCAGTGTACAGTTTGTCCGTAAGCAGACTTTCCGATATCAGAAATTCTATGAAATTCGCAGCTGCAGAGTTTTGTGGATCCTCAGTCGAATTAATACCTTGGGAATTATATAAAATCAATCTTGGTTGAGATTGTTGTTCTCCAAAAAAGTTGATATCTGAGTAGCGGATCATGCAAAAATCATACCATATGATTGTGGTTTTGTTCGACGGGCATACCCTGCTGATCTCTTCTCCGGCGCTGGTGACACAGTTCTGACAAGTAGATGCGTTAACGTCGCCTCTGCAGAGGAATAGACCATGGATATCATTGAAGGTCTCATTGTAGAAGTCCATGGAGGAGGCTGCTCTGGATGACAAAGAGTCCAAGAGGGAAGTGCGGTCAGTTAGGTAAGTGGTGGTGGCTGTGTCATTGGAGCAGTCATGGGAGAGTGCTTGGCCATGAACACAGAAGATCTGCCCAAACCCAATGATTGAGATCATCACAAACAGTGTGTATGATTTGGGGTCTTTGAGGAGAAGCATGATTTTTTCTACTTTGAATGAAAATAGGTATCATTCAACACAAAATCATCTGAGTGTTCGGACATAAACAGAGACAATCTCAGCAAAGATTAGGATTGAGAGTGGTATGCCAATGTGTGTATTTCAACGGTTGGTGGGAAAATTATACTTTCACCCATCTATTATGTTACTTGTCTCACGCTATTCCTATCAACTATTTCGTTTCTCACACTATACTGTCAGTTATGTTTATTGATGTCACCTTATTCACTTATCTATAAAATTCTTCGCATTGCAACTCCAATAACGATTATTAACACCACATTGCACAAATTTTGTAAATATTAAAAATGCATATCTTATTACATTGGTTGACATTTTGCATTCGAAACACAATGAATGTTGGGATCGTGTGAAATCGATAATCATGGTTGGAGTACTGTGATAAACTCCGTTGTTGAGGGCACAATGTGAGATGAGAGCTATAGTTGAAGAAATTATGGTGTAAGTTGTCCTTGTATTTTGAGCTGCTTGCTTAACAAAGTACAATTCTCATGGACCATCAGCTCAGTCTCCATCTACGTCTCCTTAGTTTGAGAAAAATAGTTCAAAAATCTTTCAAATCTAATATTTGTATAAAAAATCCAGTCTCGGATTTTCAAACCCGGCATGTAACTGACCCGGAGATTAAACCTAAGATCATGAATTTCGTTAAACTTAGGGGGATGTGAGTTTGAAAAGATGGATAAGAGGTTAAGGATCCAAAAAATAATTGTACCCTTAACATGAGTTTGAATTGGATTAATCAAGTGTAAAATAGTCATTTACAAAATAAATAGTTGTTAATAATTATTATATATTCATTGGTCCTATATGTGTATGTGTTGCATACTAAACATAAATATGAACCAGATTGAATATTGAATTCTATCTTTGTAAAGAAGGGTTTGAGTTTGAAAGGGTTTAAATAAGTCAATCCAAATTCCTCCTCAAAATTTATCCAAACAAACCCTAGAAGTACGGCCTGGCCAAGGTTGAGTTCCTCTCCTATTGAGAATTTATATGACTTTGTCTATCTCTATGATTTAATTTTTTAATAGCTAAAAACTAAATTTCAGGCCTGCAAGAAGTCAATGTACCCGGCTTATGCCCAAATAGAGTTGTATTATATTGGTTATTGCTATCGTGTTTCTTACATTATACCTTTAATAATAATTATTGATGAGTCTAGATTTAATTGAGTCAGACCCAATTAATTAAGTTTAAATTAGCTACAAGTCAGGCCTAACTTAATTCATAGATTTAACCCAGACCAAAGTTCAAGGAATCCAAGAAGATTAATGCACGTGGAGAGAAATCATCGAGATAGCCACTCTCTAAGATCAATATTATCTCTATTTGTACTTATCTTAGTTGTAACTATCCTCCTCAAAAAGCTAGTCATCTGTCCCTTCACGTCATCGCCTTAACCAAAATTTTGTACCTATAAATTATAAGTCATTTCTATATGAGAGGGGCATCTCTCCACACACTTTACACAATTATCTCTCTCATAACTATCAATAGCATACCATTGACTTCTTTCACCTACTACTTCTCACCTACTATTTCATCAATAAAGACCACCCGCCATTGTTGCCGTCGTCAAAGAGGAGTAAGTCACCCTGATCGAACCAATGTATATTTGTGTATTGACTGTGTTGATCTCATCTTTATATTTATTACATTTATTACCTATATTAATTATTCATGATATATAAATTCATTTTTGTGCATCGTCAATTTGATTCACATTATTCACTCAACTATCAGGTTTCTTGTATTAATCTCCCATCCGTGTTTTCTACGCTACCCTTCGAGTATCAATTTTTTTTCTTCCATATTTCAGTTCCAACTTTACTTTTCGCTTTCGATGTTAACTTAATTTTAGATATTGGAAACAAAAATTTTATTACACACATTGTGCTCGAGATCCCAATTTTGTGCATCTAGTTAAGCACGTGTTGTTGTCAGTCTCCGCCCAAATTAAAAACGTGAGTGCTTAGCACAAAAAGTGGCTTTACTAAATAACGCAACATAAATTAGGCACGTTACCGCTTTAATTTTTAGTAAAGGGCGGAGTTTGGAGAAACAAAGTAAACCTAGAGTAACATTTTCTTTTATAAAAATTAGCAATGCATTACGTGCGTTGTACGTAAATAATTTTTTTTTAAATAATATAATAAATAAATATTTAGTATATGTGTACTTAAATTAAATATCATCTTAAATTTATCAATTTTTTTTTTCATCTCTCATGGTCCATTATAAAATTTTTGAAAACTTGTATATTTTTAAGAGTTGTTGTTCTAACTTTAAGAAAATAATTAAAAAAATAAATTAAAGTTATATTTTATTTCTATAATTTTGTAATTAAAAGTGATTTTTTATTAATGTTTGAAAATTAATTTTTTTAAATTTAATTTGATTAAGATTCACTTATAAATCATTGAATAAAATAAAAATAATTATCAATATACCAACACATTGAAATCTTACTATTTTTAGTATTATCTAGATTAATTGGAATAAAATTTAATATACAATGTTATAATATATATTATAAAGTATATTAATTTTTTTTTTGCAAAAAAAAATTGAGATTTCACATAAAATCTTAACACAGTCTGAAAAATTTACTACGACTAAAAAATCATGTAAAACTATATATATATATATATATATATATATATATATATATATATATATATATATATTATTTTTTATCTTAAAAATGAAAGAGTTAAATATTTTGATAAAAAATAAAATAGAAATATGTAGTCATAATATTATCTTTATAAATGAGGTAAGTAATATTATATTGATGAAATTTTTAAAGACTTTTTTAAACATTTGTTAAAACTTATAATAATGCATATACTTTTTAAGAGTAATATAATCAATCAAAATTTTTATAAAAATTAACATTTATACATAGGGAATATCTATACTACTTATAAATGTTAGCATCTGTAAAAAACTTTTGATTTCCTATTTCACCCCTAATTATTACCTTATAAACAATTATGCCCACAAAATAATAGCTAGATAAATTTATTTCAATGACTTCCAAATTTTTTGCTACATAAACTTTATTACTAATAGTCCAAATTTTTTGCTAGATAAACTTTATAACTATATATTAGTTAGATAAACTTTATCTCAATGATTCCCAAATTTTTGCTAGATAAACTTTATCGCTATAACTTTCCAGGACATTTTTTTTTTTCATTCAATTGACAAATTCAACTAGAATTCTAATACCATGGGAAAAAAATTTGTAATTTTTTTGGTGATAAACACAACCATCAAAATTCATTATTCATTAGTATATAATAAAATATTAGAAGAGTAAAGAGTCAAAACCATATATATATATATATATATATATATATATAGACTTCTAAAATATTTTAAACTCCTTTATTAAAAGTATATATAGATAGATAGACTTTTATCTCTCCAGTAACACTATTTAACGTATTTTGTCTTATATCACTGCAGTAAATTCTTTCTTCAAAATCCATCAAAATTAGTGGCCTTGCATTATATCCCCTTGATGTTAAACATATTATGGCTATGCAGATTGGTGGGTTGATGGTGCTTAGTGTCGTCAACTTAAGCTTTTTTTTCTCTGTCAGAACATGCCTACTGTTGATATGATTTTTTTTTACTTTGTTTTCCATCTGTTTGGGTATGGTCATTGCATAAATGCTCTGTCTACCTTGCAACAGTTTTTGGAATTGGAACTAAAATTAGTTTGTGTTTAATTGAATTGGTGTTCCCATCAAAGTGATAATGAACCCCCCCAAAAAAGGGACTTTCATGAATGAAGAGCTTAATATGTGTTGGAGATTAAACTAATCTCCTAATATTTAATTGTTTATTATTAGTAGGTTTGTAGTATTTTAGGAATTGTTATTATATTACGAGTATAATTAGTTTTGTTACCACACTTCTTAAATTTTTGTGGTGGTTGAATAGTTTTAGATTAGTAAATTATATTTAGGAATTTTTTCGATCTTGTGTTGTAATGCCAGAAAATTTTTGGATTCAAGAAGTCATTGAATGCATATAACAATAGCCTTTTGTTCGTCATCTTCATACACTTCGTATTTTTAAAAATATAATCAAAATTTTTTCACGTGTAACGCACGTGTGCATTACTAGTATAATTAAAGGTGATATTAGATGTAATTTGGAGATATAAATGCATAAGAATATGATGATAATTTAGATATTAAGTGTGGAGGGATATAATGATTTTTTTAATTTTTTATGGGGGTAAAATAGTGAATCAAAAATATTTCATATTAAAGTACTTTTATTAGTAGTATATGTATAAATTTAAATATAGATATGATGAACACTTTGTTTAGGATAACGTGAATCCAATTCACATAATTGAGGGTATAATTTTTTTATAGTTTATTAGAATAGGGATAGAGTAAGGACATTCTCACCTTTTACGAGTGGCTGTCAATGGGAGGATGTTGGATGAACTTACACGAAATCAATTGACTTAGACTAAAGATTTTGACGAGACTAACAAGTACATTTTACTTTCTGGATTTGTTGTAATTTATGGTTGTTTTGGATTTTGATTGTGTTAATTGAGGAATCTATCATACGGGAAAAAAAAAAAAAATTTTGGTACTATATTGTTATCACAAAATTTGGGATTTTTTTAATTATAATTTTCGGGTCATTTATATCTTTTATAATAACTTTGGCGAAAAATTTATAACTCAAACTTTAAAAATTATAACATGACTTTTTTTTTTTTTTTTTTTTTTGTTGTAAGCAAACGCAAAAACTTATATCAAAATCCACAAAATTTGTAAAGCTTGGTGGTACAATATAATTTTTTTTTTAATTTTTTTTATTTTGATACCGTAGTCTTCTTGTGTGTTAATAAAGAATTACATGACTTGGTGGAATTTAATTTCTGGTTTTGACTTTTAACCTCATATACACTCTGG